TGAGTAGGAAGAATTATACGGAATAGAAATAGAAATAAGAATGATATTAAAGAAGGAATTAATTATGTTGTTATACGCGCGTGAATTTGTGCACCACTGCCCTCCACTTTTCCCTCTAATAATTATTAGTCTAAATTAATAAAATAAAATAAACAATCGTAATGATGATGCAAAAAAATAAATGATATTCCAACTAGCATCCACTAAGCTTGCCAGCGAAATAAGCAAACAACATTGATGTAAACATTAATCCAACTTGATGCGAGTTGAAACGTAATGTGTCGCTCAACACTATTTCATCTCGGACAGCAGGCGTCTTCTCCGTATCATTTGATTTTCCTCCGCTCTTTTTCGGATACCAAATTAATGGATTAGGCGGGCTATTGTCGATGTTAACAAAATTGCTCGATGATATTGTGATGGGTGGGGGTCCTGGATTTGCAGCCTAAAGCAAAGAGTATAATATATAAAGACTTAAAATATAATTTTACGTGTCAAATACTAATTTATTCTCTTCTTACCTTTATTTGGTTTTGATTCGACGAAGCTGAAAGAATTATGTAGATTATAAATATTTCAATATTGAATTAATATAAAACTAATATAAAATTAATATAAAACCAATAAATTACCTTCAAGCGGTGGAGGTTTCACACAAGTTTTGCTTGTGATTAGTGCTCGAGTTGGAGAAATAGTTGATTCTCGAGTGGGAAGAATAGTTGATTCTCGAGTGGGAAGAATAGTTGATTCTCGAGTGGGAAGAATAGTTGATTCTCGAGTTGGAAAAATAGTTGATTCTCGAGTTGGAGAAATAATTGATTCTCGAGTTGGAGAAATAATTGGTTCTCGAGTTGGAGAAATAGTTGGTTCTCGAGTTGGAAAAATAGTTGATTCACGAGTTGGAAAAATAGTTGATTCTCGAGTTGGAAAAATAGTTGATTCTCGAGTTGGAAAAATAGTTGATTCACGAGTTGGAAAGATAGTTGATTCTCGAGTTGGAAAAATAGTTGATTCACGAGTTGGAAAAATAGTTGATTCTCGAGTTGGAGAAATAGTTAGTTCTCTCTTTTTCCCAGCTGGTCTTGCACGAGGACTAGCAATTTGCGGTTGTTCTTGCAAATCATTTTTATTTGAAATTGAAGCGATTGGGATATTTTGTGTTCCATTAAGGGTCAATTGCGCTTCCTTGGCTGTTTGTTTAGTCAATATGATGTCCAACGATCTATAATCAGCTTTTTCTGGTACGGTAATACGCACTACTTCGGTATTATTTGGCAATATTTCCACTTTAGACCCTGCAGGTTTGATCGTGATATCAAAACCATTCCAATACATTTTTCTACTAACGCGAATTTCCGTGATAGCTCCAGGATTCAAATCGCTTAATGTCAGTTCATATTTCAAAATCTTTTGATTGAATGCTGATGATGTCACTTTACTATGTTTACCATTAATATTACGCACATATGGTGGATATCCATTCTTTTGTATTACTTCGTCAAGTTTGGCAACACACAATGGCGTTCCGATGGAAATTGTTTTTAGAATGGCTGATGGAATACTTTGCAATTTTATGTCAATATCAACAATATAAATGACGTCAACAGCAGTTGTGTATCCAGCAGAATCAAATTGAGGGCGAAGAACCCAACCTGCCAAATCTAATTGAGCTCGTACATGTTTGCTAGTTTCTGGTATTGCAGGATCAACCACAGAACAACTAGCATTGTAGATTACACCAGAAAATAGATCACGTTCAGTTGTCGCAACCGTAGCTAAATCACGACCACTAAATATTAATAGTATTGGAATTTAATTAGTCATATAATTAAATTAATTAATAAATTGATAAATCATCAATGAATTACATGTACCTAATTGGAAAAGTGCCTTTCATCGAAGTCTTTAATAAAATATCATCACCAGTTAGATATTCTACAATCACACTTTCTTCTAAACGGTCATCCCATAGTTTTCTACAAGAAGGATCAAGAATCGTCGCTAGAAGATCTTCAGCAGTCCACCCACCAGTAATTGTTGCTTCACCGCGCATAATTGGCATTGATTTTCCTGGAATTTCTTTCATATAAATTTTTACGCCTTTATTTTCCGTATAAAGTTCCCAACCATCTAGACTCTCTGCGTAGCTCTTTAATGTGGTGAGAGCTTTGTATAATGGATCACTGTGCCTATGTTGAATTATGGAATATCGATTTTGGAACATTTGTGCTAACTTTGGTGATCTGGGTGAACTTTGATCAGAAGGTGATGGTGATCTAGGTAATGATGACGATGGTCTGGGTGAAATCTGAAGAGCAGGTACTGGTGACGATGATCTGGGTGAAATCTGAAGAGCAGGTACTGGTGACGATGATTTGGATGAAATCTGAAGAGTAGGTACTGGTGACGATGATTGTTGTTGTGTAGGGATTGAAAATTGCTTTATAGATGATGAACTCGATGATTGATTCGATAAGGCACTTGGAATACTGCCATTGGATTTATTTTGCATTCTTTTGTGCGAATATGTAGAATACGGAGATGATGGTTCAGAAACAGAAACATCATCTACATGTGTAGATCCATTAGGGGTATGAATTGATCCATTCAATATGAGGTTTCCCTCTGAATCTTCCATAAAAGATATTTTACTTCGGACACTACCACTATTCTTACTATCAATCAAATATAATTAATAAATTAATTAAATCAATTAAAACTAAAAGATCTTATTTCCTACCCGTTAACGATAGTCGCTGGACGACTTGAGGATAAATTTGTCTGAGAAGGTTTTCGAGAAGGTTTTCGAGAAGGTGGTGGTGTGGACCTAGCAGCAGCAATCGGAGGCGGTCCATTTCTTTGCAAATATTGATCAATAACGTTAATAACAAGAGGACGCCTGGCCAAATACTTCTTGGAAACAAAAAAAGGAACCCATCCTTTTATGTCTGTTTGTAGAATATATGTTACTTTTGTCGCTGGTGGATTAATGGAGACCGGATCAAGAATCCAACCATTAAGTTTGATATGCGCTCGAATTCTGTTTGAGACACGTGGAACTTTTGGAGTTTCAACTGATGTGGATGCAAAATATATAACTCCTGTTGAAGTGCATTCTATTTTTTCCACCAGGGACAAGTCTCGTGCTCTTTTTTAATTAGGATAAAAGCAATTTATTTATCATTCATCATGTGACTAATTATATAATATCAGTAATAAGATAGTATAAAATATTTACTTTGTCCCAGCCAATGCTTGAATGACCATATAGGTCAAACTTGTGGTATCGTTTAAATTTTCAATCAAGTTGCCGTCCGTATACCTTTGATTTATTAAATAACAAGTCAGATTAAGGATAGATAGGCTCGATAAGTAGAATTAAACAAAACTTACCAGTCGTCCCAGAGTCCCCTATCTCCTATTACGGAGAATATTGTTTGCGGAGTGAAACCCTGTATAACGCCTTCACCCTTTAAAATAGGTGACTTGTCATTCTTATTGATGCCAGGTTTGCTCCATACCGAAACACCACTCTTATGGGATAACACTTTTTTCCAGCCAGTTTCACTTGCAACATATTTTACTTGTCGCATGACTTCTTCGGCTCGTTGAACATGATAATGCGGTGTTGACTTTGCTGGGTCAATGTCCGAAATAATGTCTTCATCCTCAGAGTAATTATCGTAAGGAGTCTCAATCTCTCCTGTTGTCGTTATCTCATCGTCAAACGATTCATCAAATTCTTCCGAAAAATCATGGTTATGGTTATCTTCCATTATGACTAAATATTGGGTTTCCCAATATAAAGCGTGTGGATTTTTTCTCTTTCAAAGAGACTTTTCTTTTAAATGTGCGTTGCCTCGGAATATTAACTCTTTGAGTTATACGAGGTTTTGAAATTATCTATAAATCAAAGCTATTCGTATAACAAAACAACAATGGATGAAAAGTCGCGCCGTTTCGGACGAATGGTAGAGGATAAATTACGGCGTTATGGTCAAAGAAATAACAATAAAACGACCTCGCGTTTTTGAGGACAATAAATAAAAAAATCTGCTACCACTACTACTACTACTACAAAAAGTACAACTTTTTGTTTTGGAGAAAAAGAGAGTAAGTTTATAAGAAAACGAATTACAAAACGAATTACAGAACGAATTGTGTGCACTCGGGTAATTTACCTTTTAGAGCCGAAAATGGGTAAAATGCTATGATCGATCACGAGCCGAAAATGGAGATCAAAATGAAAAAAAGTGATATTTCATGATATTTTCATATGTGACTTTTTAGTAATATCAATAGTGAGAGGCCAGTAATTTCTGATTAGATATACATGGAAGGTCGCGTGGTTGGATGATGTTAGCGATGATGACCAATTAAATCGCAAGATCAACGTGTGATAATACATGGTATGGATAACGTTAACATGTACTACAATAAACTGTTCTATACTGTCTAATAGAGGTTACCCAATTATACCTATTTAAGTAAAAAAATAATGCCTAACGCTAATTATATCAAATCTGAATTCATACTTATAACCCTATCATGCCAAAATGCTCAATCATATCATACTTTAATAGGTATCACTTTTGTGGGGCTGAGCGTGATCTGAGGCAAAAATTATCACTAAATCCAAATGATTGATAAATACAGTGGCCCGCATAAATAACGCACCACTTGCATCGCTAATCGTTGATCACCTAATTTTAACTCATATGCAATCTGATAAATGCAAAAATAATAGCTACAAATGGTAGATATATTATTATGTTAGTTCGTCTATAATCCATGTTGATTCGCCAAAGTGGTGGTGCATTTTTTTTGCCGTTTTTATCAAGAATGTAAAAAAATATGCTTTAACTTTTTTTTTGAACATATAAAATCAAAAAAAGTTTTTAATAAAAAAGATTTCTTAGCATGTATTCTATTAGAATTAGCTATTTTTTTTAAAGATTTTAAAATATAATGACTGATAAAAAGTATGAGAATACTCATTAATTATTTTTTGAGCATTTTACTATGTAAAGTTAATTTTTTATTAATATAATAATCTTCTATATGATAATTAAACTTGTTTATAATGTTAAA